TACATCAATATTTTACAATATCGAGCCATGATATTATAATTCTTTGAAAATAGTAGGGATGTAATATAGAATCAACAGTTATCAAATATATTGAAATAACAATAAAAATTATTGGCCTTGAAGTTTTAAAATAAGGGAGATAGGTTTAACATTGAATCGAAGTCTTAGATTTGTAATAGGTTTAGTTGTAATGGTTAAGAACAACAATTAAGTATTTATATATTTCTTATCACCAAAATCAGCATACATTTATTAACATTCGTACATTGATAATTTTTGGTTAATAATCTTATTATCAGGAACTAGAAAAAAAATTAAAGTGCTAAATAATAGAAATTAATTGAAAGATGTGAAAGTAAATCAATATTGAAAGAATTACTAAAAAATTATCATATAATATTACTGAGAGATAAATAGATTTTTTTTAATCTTTGGTCTAAATACATTCTGTTCTTTTGTCTCTAAAATTATTTTGAATTTTTTTTCGTTTAGACCAGAATAGGCCAATCAATATTCGCTTTATTTATGCAATATATTCAGAAGTTCAATTGATAATAAAATTCAATTTAATTTCCAGTGATAATAATAAAATAAATGTTCATTGTTGTATATTTGTGCTTAAGAGTTAAGCAAATTGCTATGGATTCATTCTCCTCTCTTTAAATTTTTTTATTTTCAATACTGTTTGACTATCAGGCGATCTTCATTTGGTCTAATGGTGTAAATCTAGTTGTCATTGATTACCATGTTCAATTTAAATTCTTAAATGAGTTTTAATTGTAATGCTTCATATTGAATGAATTAGATGAATTGAAGTTAAAAAAATATTTGAGTGGTGAAGTGGTTCTTCAATCACCAGAATCTATTATCTATCATATACTAAATATTAACTAGCATTTATCATTGAAAAGACTTATTTCTAGATCTCTAGAAAAATATATTAAATTGGTCAATATGAAGATGGGTAGGAATAAAATCAAAATTGAAGTAATAATGAATGATTTCAACGAAAATAATTAATATTTTCATTATAAACCCAAACACTTATTACAAAGATATAATTTTTTTATAATCTTATTTTATTATCTATATACAAAAATCGGAAAACAAAATTCCATACAAGGAATATTTGGTAAAAATCGATTTTTTTAAAAGCAATTATTATTTGGATACATATTGATATTTATTCAACAACACTTAGAGGAGTCACAAGCCTGACAAATGGTCTTTTGTCTAACCCTTAAATGGGTACATAGTGTTTGGCACCCTGTACTGAACAGAGTGGAGGTGTGAGATACATTTCATGGGACTAAAAAAAATATATGTATATACACAAATCTAGGTGGGAATAAAACTAACAAAACTTCCAAACAATCCCTCCCTGTCTGAACCTCATCCATATAAGAGCGTCATTCTGAGTCCAAACTCGTGTGAGAAATACATTAGTTTAAAGTAAAATCAGTATTCGGGTAAAAAAGGCATTATTATTTTAATATTAAAATTTATAGATTAATGTCATGGTCTGTGGCCTTTCTTAACATTTACTTGTTGTATTGAATGAATACATTCACAAATTTCAATAAATTAATAAACAGAAAACATTAATAATCTACTAACCAGTCGAGTTTAATATTACTAGACTTCCGTAAGTGAAAGCCATTGCTTAGTAAAAATTATAAGTCAATAGGCAGTGACAGTAATTAATTATGACTGTTCAAGAAACAGAAAATAGAAACAAATTCAAATTATATTCTTAAAAATACACAGGTTTATTCTATCAAAAAATTATCATGTTATAGAAAACATTTGCCTGATCAAGATATGAACAGTTGTATATTTTCCACTGCATATTAATATATAATTATTTTTCAATGAAACAGCTTTATTTTTACTCGAAGGGGTAAAAATTTGAAATATAATCCTAAATGTGAACCAAGGTCACAATATAATCCTAGATCATAACCTTTAAAAAAAAAAATATTTTTTAACAACAATAACATGGTAAGCTAATGACATAAGATAATAAGAGAAAGGACAAGTTGCAGGATCAAGACTAGAGTGGGAATATCTGATAGCTTTGAGGTTAACAGTGGCTTAAGACAGGGGACCCATTATTGCCTTTACTATTTAACCTCACCTAAGAAATGGCTATTCAAAAAATTGGGAATAACCCTATAATAGGCTCATGCAGTAATGGGATATTACTTACTTCATCGAGCCCCTGCCTACAGCCCTTGCAGTGTTGGGGTTTCTTTACAGAGACTGGATCATAGATCTCTATCTTGTGCCAATTCCCTTCTCCTTCTCCAATCTATTACGCTGCTTGTAAATGCTTCCTTTATGCCTTCCTCCCATCTTCTCCTTGGCCTTTCTCTTGATCTACGACCGTCGACCTGTGTCTCATAGGTTGCTTTGACTATTCTGTTTTCATCCATCCTAATGACATGTCCATACAATCGGGGTTGAATTTCCTCAATCACTGTTTGTGGAGGTTTTACATTAAGGTTTGTCATTATTGCAGTATTGCTTATTTGATCTCACTTTGTTTTGCCTTAAATTCTCCGAAGGAATCTCATCTCAGAACTCTGTAGTAGACTCCTGAGCTTTCTCGTAAGTGTCCAAGATTCACTGGAACACGTCAGTATTGGGATGAAAGTATTATCTTTAATTTCAAGTCCTGATTTTTGGACCGAGTAACTCACGGAATCGTCATTTAAATAGTGGAATTCATACTTATTATTTTTTATTAGTTTTCATGAAAATGTAAATATAACACAACACAGTATTTGGAACACAAAACACATAAAGCTTTTATTAAAAATATATTATTATTAGTAGTAGTAAAAATGAGCTGGCTGCTTGTCTAATTGATTAGTAGATAAATAAAAATTAGAATATTTTAATATTGGAAAATTATGAATTTAATATTTTATGAATGACTGAAATCTGCTAGTAAATAAGGATAACTACCCGTACTACGAAGCATTCGTGTACAGATGGAAGCAATTAGTGGGGGATGATCACTTCAACCTCTACTAAACCGAGGAACCAGAAGATAAGTGGTAGAAGTATCTCACAACTTCTACCAAAAATCTATATTGCCTAGAGGCCAGGAAAGTAGAAAATAAAGTAAAAATAAAAGAATGACTGAGATCCATTTATGAATATTTCCAAAATTTTAAATTTTCATTTTTTTTTTTCTTTTCAAATTCATACCTTGGAAAATTTCAACAACTTAATTTGGTATTAGTTATACAACTACAATGCAACAAATAAAACAATCTTTCATGTTAATAGTGGACTTATTACATATTACATGAATGAGTATTTGAATAAAAATGCATTTTACAAAACAACTTAAAAATTTAATAATTGTTTTTAATGTGAAATTTGTTCTTAAAATGACCTTAATTTTATGTTTTAAGTCTATATTGTTCTTTCTGCAGTTTTAATATCAGAATGATTATTTCTTTTGATTTAAAATCATTAAAAAATAATCAAAGATCAGCTACAGTTGGATTTAATAATCGAAGAATGAAGGCAAGAGTGTCTTTAACGAAAAAAAAAAGTTATAATATTTAACAGCACTTGGTGGCTTCCTGAAAGTAAATTGAAAACGTAGTTAGTTTATTTATTAAGTAATGATAAGAATAAAATAGACAGAACAACAAACAAAAACTCTGATCATTAAAGGTATTAGAGTCCTAGTTTTATTGGTGTGAATATACAGTATTCAGCTTAGATTAAAATGCATCAAGTAAGAAAACAAAGTCTGAACCAATATGAACTTAAACTCCTTGAAGCCTTGTTTTCACCATATTTAAATTTGAAATTATAAATCTCAAAAATAGGTTAATGTTCGTACAATATATCTTTTAACATATAATGCCAAGGAGTCATAATCAAATACAGTTACCTGACAATGAAACAATATTGATACATTAATAAAATAAGTAAAATTAAAATTAGGGTCAAATCTAAAAATATGGGCAAAAGTGCAAGCAATGCTCCCATTTCAGTATATATAATAATATTTACATGATACTTATGAATAGAACATATAAGTAAACCAGTAAAGAATTTTTAACATTTTGAATAACATTAACAAACACATCACCTTTGCTTATAAGTCATAAGCGAGATTTTACAATTTCAAAATCTATTTTCCTTTTGATGATTAGAAATTAATGTTTTTGATAATGAGAATCTATATAATTTTTTTTTGCAAAATTAATGTTTAGACATTAAATAGATTAAAAATAAAATTTTCAGAAAATAAATTTTTAAAATTAATAAATATAAGATTGGGAGATTTGATTTTATGGAAACGATGTTTAAATAATTCAACAAACTTTTTAAAATTTGAAAATAAATCTACAAATAATAATCCGAAATTTTAAGGCGACTTATAAGGTTGAAGACATCCGTAAAAGGTATCGGTCTTTAGTCATTTCTGACCAAATAAGGAGAAGTGAGAGAGGGTAAACTAGGACAAGATACATATGGTCATAGAAGTTCAGTTCTTGGCCGTCTCCCCTGAGCTTAGCTTACTGTAAGTCTTCGTCCATCGAAAATAAAATAACTTAATGATAAGTTTTAACATAATAATATTTTATAAAATGTTATTACCCGACGACTATTCAATTATATCAGAAAATACATTTTCTCTATTGTCTTATACTGTAAGGGTTAATATCTCGTTTTTAAAAATAACTTACAGATTTAAACTCATACAGTTTATATATAAGTGTAATGGAATTTCTTAGCAGTTGAAGCCAGAATATTTCAAGGTGTGGTTAATACTATTTCGTGTACACAGAGGGTTATCAGCTGAGTGAGTCATAGGTCGTTTACATTTTTGTTTGTCTTTATTTGTGAAACAAGTTTTTAGTCAATATTAACTACTTATAACTTAAGTAACTTTTTGTGTCCTCGTTATTAGTAAGTTATTCGAAGTTCGAATGTAATATTTTTTTCTAGTATATTTTGTATTTTTGATACAAAAGTCCTTGAAAATTGTGCAATGAAAATTCTTTAGAATTTAGTGTTATAGTTTAGAATATAGTTTTTTTCAATTAACCAAAGATTGAAATTTTTTTTGTGTAATCTAAAGTATAATAAACTTGTTATGATCAAGTTCAACATTAGTAACAATAATCTGGAAATAAAGTTTTCAAATTTTTGATTCAAAAATGTTTTATCAAAATGATAACATCAATTTCATTCAAACTTACAGATATTCGTTTGTGTTTAGGTGATTTAAGTACTTCTATTTAAGAAATACCATGTCTTCAAGAAAAACAGCCGGCCGAAGAGCTACTACAAAGAAGCGTGCTCAGAGAGCAACTTCTAATGTATTCGCTATGTTTGATCAAGCTCAAATTCAAGAATTTAAAGAAGCATTTAATATGATTGATCAAAATAGGGATGGGTTTGTAGACAAGGAAGATCTTCACGATATGTTGGCTTCACTTGGTATGTACTTTTATTCCTATTATTTATTTGATATTGTGTGTGGCATTAAGTGATCTTTATTTGTTTTATTCTTTTTTTTCAAATTTTGTCAGCAAACTTATTTTATTATTGATAATTAATGTCATAGTAAATTAGGCTTAATCATCGTTGACCTTGGAAATTATGTGGTTTCCTTCAATATTAGTGTTATTAGTTTGATCTCATATTAACAAAACAAAAATAGAAATTATCATTGTTATTTTTATATGTGATCCTATCCACATATCTTATATAAACTTCTGCAAACTCCCAACTGTTCCTTTTTAGTTAAAATTAGGGTCTTAATTAATTAATAGCATAGCTTCTATAAACTTTTTTTAACCTATGCTGTTTCAAAAGGGATAAACAATCACCCAACAGATCATTTTCAGTAGAGATAGACATAATCAGAGGGTTGGGCATCTGTCTACTTTCGGAATCGTTCTGCCTTTTTCAGGATTTTATCTTCAGAGTGATTATGAAACTTGTGTCTGCACATTATGATGAAATGACACTTGTGAAGTTGTACCAAAGATAATATAATCTTCTGAAGAAATAAACCATAATTACAGAAATAATATCTCAGAGAAAATGCAAAAAAAATATACAGAATTGTGAAGGCAGAGAATGTGCAGCCTTTGTGCAACTTTTCTAAATTCCATCTCTGGTATCAGTTAACATTTAATAATAATTAAAAATATTTAAATAAAAATTTATATCTATGTATAAAAATACTGATCAGATTAATAAATATAGCAATCTCTCTTATCAATGCTTAACCTAAATTCCGCCCTCTAATCATAAAAAGGTTGTTCCACATCTATGCAGTATGCAACTGCCCATTATTTATACAACTCTGATTATGTTGACAAATATATTATAATACTAACAAAAACTGTTACAATATGTTTTATAAGTATTTATATCGGTACTACATCACAAACATCACTCCATTATGACAGTTGGGGTTATATCTTGCTGTTGATGCAATTCTGAATATCATCAAGAGCATCATAAAGAAGTAAAGAGGAGTCGCTGATCCCCTCAGTAAAGCGCCGATATTAACTGGAAAGGATCTGTTGTAAATTTGTTTATCACTTCTTTGCGATTGGTAGTAAAATGATGCGATCTGATTACATGATAATGTTAAAGTAAGTTCGTTTATTCTAAAGACAACTTGTATTACTTGATACCTGTAGTATATTTAAATCTATAATCATGTTATAATACTCTTTTTGGTGTTATCATTGTTTATTTCATCATAGTTTTAGGTAGATTATAATTATTTATTTTTGTAAGCTCCAAAATAAATCGTATTTTCATAGAGTATGCAAAGTCATCAAAATTTGGTCTCGGCTTATGGTATTTGGTATCTTCTGGAATTAATCATTGTTTCATTAAGTTTTATCCTTTATTGCCACATTGACCTTGAAGGTCTTACACAATAGAAGAGGAGGAGGAAGTGGGTCATAGAACATTCTTGCTTGGTACTATTATTGTTATTTTCATAGAATATTATTTTTTCAGGAAAGAGCCCTACCGATGAATATCTTGAAGCAATGATGAATGAAGCACCTGGCCCTATTAATTTCACCATGTTCTTGACACTTTTTGGCGAGAGACTTCAAGGCACTGATCCTGAAGATGTCATTAAAAATGCATTTGGATGCTTTGATGAAGATAACAGCGGTTACTTAAATGAGGAGCGTCTTCGTGAATTATTGGTTACAATGGGGGATAGATTCACTGATGAAGATGTAAGTATTTACATTCAAGTTAGGTTAAATAAAGTTAATTAAGTTGTTCATAGAGTTCTGTGCATTACGTTCATAATTTTTTTTTTCTTTTCTTAAAGGAATTATGCTTCTATTTTAATTTCTATTTTTTTAAAATATCGATACTTATGGAATTAGAAACACAGTAAGATTATTTTTTGGTTCTTAAAAAAATAGAAAAAAAGTTTGGTATATATTATAGGAAAAAAATTTAAATATCTCTTTAATATGTTTCATATATTTCAATAGTTTAGACTGCTAAAACTTTCCTTCTACCTTTCATTTGGCATTTAATTTTGTTTTGAAATGTTATATTCTGAATCACATTTTGATGAGTGATGTTAGGAATTCAGATGCTCTACCTTACTCTTTAGTCATACCTTAGGGAGGGGTTATAAGTTGGGATATTACCAATACTTTTTATGAAATAATGTTACCGGTGCTTGACTATACATATGATTTAGATATTGTAGATCTTTGAATATTGAAAAAAAAATTATACTTTTCTTAGTTAATTATAAATCAAGAAAAACTACTTTATTATTTTATTTTTTTCTTATCGATAATTTCAAATTTTATCGTTTATCGTTTTGGGTAGTTTAGAGAGAATTAAAATATTTTTAATACATTCCTTAGAGTAATCCTTACTATTTTATATTAAAAAAAAAAAAACATATTCCGATTATTTTATATATATATATATATATATATATATATATATATATATATATATATATATATATATATATATATATATATATATATATATATAATTCTTATAATAATATATAACCGATTCTTAATGATGTTAAGAATTAATCATAGTGAAACTTCAGAAGTGGATTGCTCACAGAAAAATATAAAAAATAAAATAAAACATATTTTCTTATCCAACTTTCAATTTTATTGGCTGATTACAAATAAACAAAATTCTATTAATAAACAATATTTTATACATGTATATATGTATACATGTATACCATTTTGTTAATCAAAGTATTATTTTAGTAAATGTTCGAAAATACTACTTTTGACTTCTGAGCACTTTCAGCTTCCTCTTCGAAGGGCGACAGTTGCTCTCTTGATTGTTTCATACCTCCTATAATAACCCCTAAAGCATCTTTAATATGTTGAATTAGTCCATCCTGAGTGTCTACTTCTACTTTTTATCAGTAACCTTACTTCATCTTTGAACCAGGTCCGGTCCATAAACAAGATCTTAGACATAAACTAATTGGACCAATCCAACGATATGGAAATTTTCATCCAAATATTGCCTCACCCAAAAACAAAATCTGCAGGAGCTCCATCATCTTCTTGTTCGGCCCTTCAACTCGTGGTGAGTCTGGGCCTCCTGCTGCATTGACTGCCAGTCATTCCGGTGTATTGCTGCTGCTTTCCAGTTCCGCACCCCTAAGATGGACAACACATCCTCTGCCACTCCGTCAGCCCACCGCTGTGTTGGCCTGCCGATTCTTCTCTTGGAATGTGTCTTTTCTTTAAGTACTTTCTTCGGGATCTTATCATCTTCCATTCTAGGGAAGCCCTGCCCAGCGAAGTATTCCAATTTTAATAAATCTTATGATATTTATATTCTTGTACAGGCTAGCTATTTCAGCATTTGTTCTCAGTCGCCAGATATTATTGATGAAGATGGTCCCGAAAATTCTCCTTAGGACCCGCCTCTCAAATCTTAGAAGTAGAAGTTCTAGAGTTAGTGAGATTTTCCAGCCTTCAGAAGCATAGGTCAGGATAGGTCTTATGAGCGTTTTGTATAGCTGTACTTTTGTGTTATGTGAAACGGTTTGACTTTCGAAATGTTTAAGGAGCCCGAAATAGCACTTGTTTGCAGACATCATCCTTCTATTTATTTCTCAACACATGTTGCCTGTGTTAATCGGGGATCCTAAATAAATAAATTCATTCACCTGATCAAATGTGCAGTCTCCTATTTCTAGCTGGGCTTCCTCATGATCCATTCCTTAAGGATCTGCTCTCATATATTTTGTTTTTGCTTCATTTACAGTCAGACCTACCCTTTGTGCTGCTTCTTTGAGTGCGAGAAACGCTTTCTTCATGGACATAAACTTCTTCTCATTATATCCAGATCGTCTGTGAAACCAAGAACCTGGGCCGATCTGTTAAATATGGTTCCTCCCATCTGTACACCTGAGCCTCTGACTGCACATTCCATGGCCACATTAAACAAGAGACAGGCAAGGCTGTCACCCTCCCTGAGGCCTTTATAAGTTTCAAAATCACTAGAGAAGCCTCCGCTTACCATAACAGTACACTGCACCTTCATCATGGTCATTTTTATTAAGCACACTAATTTTGATTGTGTTCTCAATTCTAGCAGATTTTTGTAGACCTTCTCCCCAATAACATTTTCATAGGCCTGCTGGAAATCACTAAAGAGTGTGTGGTATTATTGTACTCTCTATCCTTCTCTAGGATTGTTCTTAATGTAAATATTTGATCCACAGTTCCTCTACCGTTCATGAACCCAGCTTGGTACAAACTGGTTTCTCTTTCTGCATTAGGTCGGAGTCTCTGATACAGCACCCTTGATAGTACTTTATAATTATTGGAAAGCAGAGACATCCCTCGGTAATTCTTAAACTTTAGTATGTCCCCTTTCTTATGTATAGGACATATGACTGCTTTGTACCACTCTTCAGGCTTTCGTTCACTTTGCCAAATATCCATAATGAGATCATACAAAAATCGCTCAACTTCTGCTCCTCCATAACGGCTTATGGCTTAACACTCAGATAGAATTTTCTGCTTTCATTGAGGGTTTTGAGCAGTTCTATTTCTTCTAGTTGATCACGTTCGCATTTCCTTTTTTTCCCCTGGTGTAATTTTTTTTCTATTCTGCGCTTTTGACATTAATGATCAACTGAGTTTCTTGTAAACTTCCTTAGTACTATCAGTCGATAGACAGAATTCTTTTCAATAGTCACTAGCATGCAATCGTCGTCAAACTTAGACGCTTTCTTTGAATATTCCTCATGGCCTAAAACCTCGGAGGAGATTTCTAGAATTGCTTCTTTATATGTTTTCCATCTCAGGCTAAGGTCATCATCCGGTTCAACACTTTAAAGCTTTAGGTCCATTGATGTCATGAATGCATGTTTTTTCTGTGGGTGCTAATCGTTTGTATTTAAGGTATAGAATGAAAGAGTGGGAAGTATTTGTAATAATGTTATTTGGGTTGTTCAAATAATGTTAATGGGATTTATTATAAATCGAGCAGCCATTGCTCTCACTGCATTAACCACCATTCTCACAGTGTGGGGATGGCCCGGTCGAGGTCTGTCACATACAGATAGGGTCTCATATCTATTTACAGTGCGGTACACAAACATATGGGTGATACCCCCAAAGGTTTCAAAGTGTTGAAAATCTCTGACCTACATTTTCCAACTTTGTGTAAGGCGATCACAGTTATTTGGTTTTCTTTATCCTCCCAATCCATGTTAACTGAGCGAAAGAAAAGTACAAACTAATTGTTATTATTATCCTGACATGTAAAGAAAATAATCTTATAGAGGATAAGGAGAGGATATAGAGTAAGGATTATCTAAATAATACCCAAGGATGTAAGCAAAGTTCAACTTTTATAACAGTATTTATGGCAGAACTTAGATATATATATATATGTGCATGTGTGTCTGTTGTTTACAAATATGCTTAGTTGAATTTTCTTTTTCAGGTTGACGAGATGTATCGTGAAGCTCCTATCAAGAATGGCATGTTTGATTACATCGAGTTCACTCGAATTCTCAAACATGGAGCTAAGGATAAGGATGAGCAATAGTTCGTCTTGAGCAGAACTTTTATCCGAATTTTTATATGTATATGCTTACCACAATCATACTCTTTATATATTTTTATACCTTCCATTAAACATTTTATGTTAATCCATTTTGTTGTTTATGTAAGATAATTTAAAAATTATGTATTTATTCCGTGAGTTACATTATTTAAAAAATGTATACTATAAGTAAAAGCTTTTGGTGTTTTTTTTTTTTTTTTGTTTTGTTCCATATTCTACTCATAGTGTGTTTTTTAATTATTCTAGTAAAAATATAAGTATTTGTTTGCCTTGTATGTTTTTTCAAAGATCAATAATGGTTTTTCAATAAAATATGGCCATTGAATATATATGACGCTGGCTAGTTAGCAATGTAGATGGCTGGACTAGTTAGCTGTTTGGCAGAATATTTTATGCTTTTATATTTTGAGAGTTATTATGCTTTTCGTATGAATTAAATAATTTTATTTAACATGTAGTATAGGAAGCTGGTGTAAAATAATAAGATTAAGCTTTTGCAATTTTTCCTGGTCTGTGAAGAGATTTAAGAACTGAAATTTTTATGAAAACATCATCAATATCTTACCTAATATAATGAGTTTTCTCAATTGCCTCTTGCATCTTCAAACTGATGAAACATGGGTTTTTCAAAAAATGTTACTTTCGTAACCTTACCTTGTAACTAGGGTAAGATGACAAAAATAATAACTACAGCTACAAAAATCCTTACTATGGGGTAAGATGGAGAAAAGACTAGGGATTTTGGAACATCATAACAAACAATTTCAACAAGATCTTTTATCCAACTTTATTAGCATATAACTTAAACAATAAATATAAAACTATGAAAGGAAACAAAAAGTAAAATTTATTTAAACATAGAAGTCACATTTAAAGGTCTTGTGTGATGTCTCTGTTCCCATCCAGAACACTGAATGAAGCACTGCTACCCCAACTTCCTTCCTCTGACCACAAGATGCAGAATTAATCATATTTTCTCCTTGTGTCATTTTTAGCAAACTAACCTTTAACAGTAATGACAACTATTGTAAAAGAAATAGGTCTCCTATGGAGTTGTATATTCAGAATATTTTTTTGAATAAGGAAAAAAACATATCTTAGACTAATGATTCCTTGCATTTTGAGATTAAAAGATTACTTCTAAGTATTTAGTATTTGAACTTTTGGCCACACACTTGTTTACACAGGCAGATCTACTGGGAGTGGGAGAGCAGGCTTTTGGGCTGAAGCCCCTCCTCCAAAATAGTAAAATACAACCATTATGAAAAAAATCTACCGAAGGTTTAACCACATGACCAGCGGCAGAAGGTTTGAAAATTGAAAACGGTAGAACCTGAAAATCCTGGAGTCATGGCTTACTAGAAGTGTTTGGCTATGTTTGAATTTTCAAGATCCCAATAACGGACATAAATTACGTGATCAGCAGCAGGAAAAAACGTACTGGAATAGTTTCAGACAACCCGGTAGATGACATTTAATAAAGTAAGACAGAATTTTGGAAGCTTTATAGGAATATGACAGCTCTACAAATCTCAAAAATTACGTGACCAGCAGTAGACAAAAAACCAATTGTAATAGTCTTAGACCACTTTCTAGGTAACAGATTTAATTAAGTCATACAATTTTGGAAGCTTTATACGAATCTGACAGCCACAGCAATCACGTGATCAGCAGCAGGAAAAAAATTGGTTAGAATATTTTAAGAGCACAATAATTTAATTATTGTTATTTTATAAAATATATATACATTTTTTGTAAGCTTTCCACGAATGTGATATGCAAATTTGAAAAATGTATCAAAAATTATGCGATCATCAGCAGACAAAAAAAAAAACGGTTGGGATAGTTTTAGACCACTTTGTAGGTAGGGGTGCGCATCCTCCCCAAGGTCGATGGCGCATGCCTTCCCCTTATATAATTAATCTTTATATATATGAAATGTTATATCAACGTTAGTTTAAAAGATACTAAACCTCAAACAAACAATGATTTATGCCTTTTTTCGGTTCTAATCGGTACATTTTTATAATTATCGATTTTTCAAAAAAATCGACAAGAAAAATTTAAATCTGGAAATAAATGTTCTAAACAGAGATTATCCAAAATATTTTTATTTTTAGAACCGTCTAGAAATAGTGTAGTATACTTTTTTCTTAATTTTGTTTTTGCCTCCCCTTCTTTACCTTTTAGGCCACGCGGAGTTTTTCCCGGAGCGAAGGAAGGAGCAGGGAAATTATGACGAGTTAAAAGTTCCATCGGCCACCGGTGAGCTGTATCCGGTTAATATAATTGCGGTGATTACAAAGCGTTGGATAAAATGGTCATATAAAATTGTTTGGCTTGTAATGAAAGAATCTCTAAAAAGTTAATAATTCCTGTAACAACTGTAAACGTCCAAGGCTGAACTGGCGGTGTTGGGTTTGGATGGTGGCCGGTGGAGGGACGTGTGTGGACAGTTTGGTGGTGTCGGCATCGAACCTTCGGGTTCGCTTATCCTTTTATTATTAACCGATCCTTCTAGCAGTTCTGCTGTCACTTTTCCACACGATATATAGTGTTAGTTCTAATAGAGCATAATAATTCTAAACATCTACGAGTATCTTTGTCTCATATTGGCCCTCTTTTCGGCAGTATTTAAAACATTAAAATACACTCCACACACCACTTAAATAATAGTTAAAAAATAAATAATGTTTTAGTAGTTTTTGTTCGAATTTATTGCGTTTAGTGAAGCGATACCTTACATGAAAAGATCTCGAACATAAGTTAAGATTTGTATTATTTCTAACAAGATTTATATTTATTTATTATCCCAACCCTATCGTTTCTAACCTATCTTCCTTTTCAATTCCTGATAACCATTCCAGACGTCTGAAAAGAAGATGGCCCCCTGATTTCCTAATGTAGACATATCATTAGCTACCATCGGGTAGTTTCTCAACAAATGTTTTTATATCATATCCATATGTTCAAATTTACTAAATGTATTTCTTTAATACAGTTGTAAATATCATTAAGAAAAAAAATTATTTATTTACATTGTGTTAGTAGAATTCCAACATATAACAAGTGAATTGGCCAAGAATCAATATAAACAATTATTATAATATGAAGAAAATAATTTACACAATAAATTAATGTGAAAGAACAAACAACTCCTAATACAAATTCGAAATGTATTATTAAATGTAATCTCAGATAACATTTCAATACTTTTCTACAATTAAACTAAGCCGTAACTAATTGAAACATGTCCGGAATCAGGGGCGTACACAGCTTTCAGATAAGGGAGAGGTCAATATGAAATACAATATACACATAGAACAACAATTTTTAACACGTTAACTTTCTTGAATTTTCGGCAAACCTTTGATTTATGATTGATATGTTTTATTTGCTTTAAAATTATTTAGGTGGTAGGAGACCAATGCCCCCTTCTTTCCCTTTGTCCTCTGTGTATGCCTATGCCAGAAATTCATCATTATTTTATAATTTGGTTTTCAAATATTTTTGCCTTTTAAATATGAATTTCATCTGAAATAATTGCAAGATCGTTGTTTTTTAAAATTGGGTTGTGGAGGAAGGGAACAATTAATTTAAGGATGAGGAAGTTAGTTTTCTAATTAGTTTATATCACTATAAACCAATAAATCAAAATAAACCATTACTATAATATGAAGAAAATAATCAAAACAATAAATTCATGTAAAAAATACAAATTAGAAATGTATTGTTGAGTGTAATCCCAGACAAAATTTTAATACTTAAGTTTATTATTATTACAATTTATAAACATTTTTAAATGAAGTACAAATAAGCGGCGCTCGGCGCTCTTAGATTTTTTTATAAACTCGTAAACCTCAAAGTTCCTTATTTTCCTTTATATCCTGGTTTAAAAGCTCTTGAAATTGAAAACTTATTGTACCCCTCCTTCAAAAAAAATTTTGATTGCGCAACTTACGCCATACAACCCTCCTCTGGGCACCCTGTTTGTAGGCAACTAGTTGGGTAAAATCTCACGTTTTGGAAATTTTTCACGAATCTGAAAAGCAAATAGTTGCAGATAACTTTGTAGGAATCTGATTCAATAAAATCTTACCAATATTTAGAAACTTTTCAAGATTTTAGCACTTATTACGTGCGGGGCGACAAGAAAAAAAAAATTGGAATCGGTTGGTCTAAGAGTTTTTCCTGCTACTTATTAGTTTTTTTTTTTTTTTTTAAAAGGTTGGTCAATATGATAAAAAAAAAAAGTGCAAACAATTAAAAATAGTGTAAAGGACACACAAAAACCATGTCATTATTTAACCATTAACTATGGGTTAAGACAATGTGATTTTTTTTTTTTTACATCATAAAATAGTAGTTATCCCTTTATATATATGATATAGTTATCTATATTGATTGATAAGAAGCATCTATAGAAATGAGTGCATACGCATGCAATCATGCCTATGTTATGTAATTTACCATTACATTATGTACATTATGGCAGGGGGAGGGAGGAGGGGAGGAGGAGCTTTGGGGCTGTAGCCCCCCCCCTCTCAAAATGGTAAAATACAACTGTTTTATGAAAAAAATTATCTTTAAAAGTATTATTGTTCGTCTAATTACAGTTAATAGGACTTCAACAATCACTTAAAGACCATTTCATATAGGTAGTTAGTTTCTTTCTTTCTTCTGTCATAATCCTAATATATTTACACAAAAAAAAATCTTTATAATTCAAACTTCTTGATAACTCGAAGTCTCGATAATTCAAAGTTTTCTTGTAGTCCCTTGGATTTCGAATTATCAAGAGTCAACTGAATTCTTACCTTTTCATGTTCAATCTCTAGCACTTTCTTTAATTTCAATTGGGTTAAATATTAACATAATTTATTTAAGAAAAAGAAAAAGGAGGTGAACAAATTTTTTTTTGTCTTAAGATGCCTTTTTATCACCGTATATTTTGGTAAAGATGAATAAATAATGTATAGTCA